ATGTCTTTTTAAAATGCCTTCAAGACTTTTTAATAAAGTACTATAGTATTAAAAAATTTCTGCAGACTGGCCAAAAACTTCTGCGGACCACGGGTTGGGAACACTGAATTTGAGGCGACACCAATCCAACATTTGGGAAAAGGCTGAGGCGTGAAGTACTCTCAAATTGTTCAAATGTGTTTCGCAAGTACAGTAGTACAATATAGTTCCGTAACTAGAATGTCGGTAATATCGATGATTATGGAAATTAGATTATGCGAATTTACTGACCTGATCAACAGGACAGCCACCAGCAGCTCCGTCGCCCTGGGACCAAACCAGGCCCAGAGCAAAGCTCGCCAACTTTTCTCGGATGCTCTCTATCCAACACGCACTCGATCTCCTGAAAAAATAAAAATTACGAACACCAAGATTTTTAGAAATGTGCCCAGGCGAAAAAATAAAATAAAATGCAGGCAAGAATTCTAACAACCGAAACATCGGCGAACTTCCAAAAGCTTTTCAAAAAAGAGCCTAGGAGAAAATTTTGCTCGATGATAGTGAAAAAATAAAAATTACTACATTTAGATTACAATAATAAGGAAATACAATTTTTTTTTCGAGAAACTTCGATCAACAAATAAATCGTTTCAAGTCTGAGTGAACACGCGGCTTATCCATTTTTTTTGCCAAACATTTTGTTTGAACAAATCGGCTAAAGAAAAAAAAATAGTCTCTCTAAACTTCCGTTGTTTTACTTGCAACTACCTTCTCAAGTTGATGTGACAAAACGATCAACAGATTATTCAAAACTAATTTTTAAAAAGGTGTACATTTAAATGTATTCACACAATCCTTGCGTCAGTGGGTTTCATTTCAATATAATAAACATATGAACAGTAAAGGATGAGTCACAAACTTTCTTTCATGCATGAATGTGTTCTTCTTGTATAATTTATGTTTAGATTCCTGAATCTCCTGATTTGAGTGAGTAGAAGAGGAAATATCCAGAAAAGTCTTTCCAAGACAAAAAAATAGTCTTTATTTGTACAGTTGAACCTCTGTAAGTTGAATTCAAGGGACCTGCAAAAAAATGCAACTTAGGGAGGGTTTGTTAATTACATAGGTTTGAACTACAATACAAAGCATTTTTTTTAGGAAAACTTCTTTTCATTTCTTCAGTATTTTTCTTTTTGTACAGAAAGCTGCCTTTGACACTCTCTTGATAAAGCTCGTCATACAAAGTTAAGAATAAAATAATTATTGGGGAATTATAACGATAATTTCCACCAAAAACAAATGAATCAACTAGAAAACCCAACCCCAGAGATTACCACGATTTCAGCAAACAATAATGTGCCACTTTTAAAGGGAAAAAATAAATAAATTAAATGCTATGATGACTGAGAAATTTCATAGTGAATAAAAAATAAATAAAATAAAGAAAAGAGATTAGGGTTAAAATTTCAAGGGACCTGCAAAAAATTCAACTTAGGAAGGTTTTGAATAATATAGGTTTGAACTAAAATACAAAACACTTTTTTTAAAGGAAAACTTACTCTCATTTCTTCATTCTTTTGATATTTGCGCAGAAAGCTGTCTTTGACACTCTCTTGATAAAGCTCGTCATACAAAGTTGAGAAGAAAAGAATTATTGGGCACTTGAAAAAATAATATCCACCAATAACACATGAATAAACTTGAAAAATGTGCTCAACCAATCCCAAACCCCAGAGATTACCACGATTTCAGCATACAATAATGCGCCACTTTTCAAGGGAAACAATAAATTAATTTATTAAATGCTATAAAGATTGAGGGACCTCATGGTGAATAAAAAAATAAAGAAAAGAGAATAGAGACGAACCTGTACACACGGATGCTCAACGTGATCATGGTCGTCAATTCCGCCAACATTTCCCCCACAGTCGCACTCTGGCTAATGCACACTTCTTGCAGTGCCAAAGGCTTCCAATTCTTTATCACCAAGGCTCCTGGAAAGCGCAAAAATATGTCCAGCATTTAATTTTTTTTTTTCAAAATCACTGAACGAGTTATATTTCAGGGCTATATTTCAGGGACATAAAAACATTTAGTTATAAATAATTCATATAATTCATTGTATGGTACAGTAATAAGATTCGTCAAGACGAGATTTCACTGTTTAAAGAACTGTTTGAAGAAATTAAAATTGCAACTCGCATTTTTGGGTAGGGGTCCTGGAACACAAAATTAATTGAGAGGAACAATTCGTTACATCGCGATTCCATGCAACGAGAATATACTTTACTCTAATGCGAAATTAAATTCAACAAAACGCACTTTGAGTTGAATTTGCAGAGAAAACAAAAAACAAAATGACTCACCAGTGGCATACACGCATTCGGCTCCAGAGAAGCCCAGTTTTGCCAAAGCAGTGGGTACCAGGTCCACAAACGGCGTTTCCACCGGCACAATAGCGTACGCATCTGACAAACCCCGGTCTTCCACTCGGTTCCCGTTACTATCAATCTCCACTGAACACACCGTGCAGTGAATCGGTATGGATTTCCCTATAAATTCAAAAGCACAAAAATAAGAAAAAAATAAAAGTTGATCAATAAAACCTCTCACACCAACAGCAAGACACACACTTTAAAAATTTCTTTAGGGCAACCATGGGAACCTATAAAGCACAGATTTTCCAACAGGGGTGTAAACATATAATTAAATGAGTCCTGAAACAGGTTAATAATACCCTTTTCTTTTTGTGGTTTTCATGTGCTCTTAGATTATGCTTAGCAACAACCAGAATCAAACCTTTAATAAAGCACATATTTTCAAACAGGTGTAAACATATAATTGAATGAGTCCTGAAACAGGTTAATAATACCCTTTTCTTTTTGTGGTTTTCATGTGCTCTTAGATTCTGCTTAGGAACAACCAGAATCAAACCTATAAAGCACAGATTTTCAAGCAGTTGTAAACATATAATTGAATGAGTCCTGAAACAGGTTAAGAATACCCTTTTCTCATTGCAGCTTTCATGTGCTCTTAGATTCTGCTTAGCAACAACCAGAATCAAACCTATAAAGCAGAGATTTTCAAGCAGTTGTAAACATATAATTGAATGAGTCCTGAAACAGGTTAAGAATACCCTTTACTCATTGCAGCTTTCATGTGCTTTTAGATTCTGCTTAGCAACAACCAGAATCAAACCTTTAATAAAGCACATATTTTCAAACAGTTGTAAACATATAATTGAATGAGTCCTGAAACAGGTTAATAATACCCTTTTCTTTTTGCGGCTTTCATGTACTCTTAGATGATGCTTAGCAACAAACAGAATCAAACCTATAAAGCACAGATTCTCAAACAGTTGTAAACATATAATTGAATAAGTCCTGAAACATGAAGAAGAACATTGGAATACCCTGTTCTCATCGTGGCTTTCACATGCTCTTAAATTATGATTAGCAACAACTAGAATCCTTAGATCAAAATGTTTCTGTTATCTGGTCACCAGTCATTCAATTGCAACAGTCCCAGTTTACTTTCAGTTGTATTCTATGCGCAGTCATGCACCTGTCTGGTGCATCCCACAAGTCTATAAAGGAGTGTCCAAACACTCTTTTAGCACTCATTGCTGGTCTGGTCTATGTTGTTGTTTGACTTAGGGCTTGAATTAAAGACACATCTTAATTTTTATACTGAGACGTAGACTCACCAGCAAAAACCCCAGCCATAGGATTAATACTTCTTGATTCCAATTTATCCTAAAAAGTAAACATCAAATCAATTTAAGATATTAAAAGCAAAGAAGACGTTTGACGCATTAATTATTTATTTTGGTCCCTCTTTGGCAGTTTAGGATAACACACTGGCACACATACTACAAATGGTACATCAGCCAACTTGCAGCACCAGGAAAGTGGTACACAAGATTATACTACCGTACCTAGCATATGAAATATCTGTTTCTTGTAATTTGGCCTGAAAATCATTTGCAATGTTATCACAAAATGTCCCTATGTTGAGTCAGTGTCCTCAGGTCGGGAATTTTTTTTCTTAATTTTTATGGGAAAATAAGTGTCCCTATGTCGAATTGTCCGCATGCGGGGGTCTCACTGTACTAGGGACACGCAGTCGTTAAACATGTTACAACAACATACAAAACAAGGATGAAAAGCTCCGAGTCCTAAACTTGAAAGCAAAAAAATAATGTCCCCTTCTCTGTAGAAAATTTCACTGGAGAAAACCCCCCTGGACGCACTCCAGGATCAGCTCGCGATCTTTTAATGGACTGTGTTGCCCTGGGCTCTCTCTCTCTGCAAAAGAGAATGAGAGAGAGCAAAAGGGAAAAATTTGCAGCAGCAGCGAGCTCAGGGCTTAAAATCTCAAAATCCGCTTGTAAGGTCACTCTGCTAAAAATCCTAGAAAACCCCCCCCTGGCCCCGTCCGGCAAAGCAGATTTCCTCAGTGTGTGTGTGTGTGTGTGTATCTGTCTCTTTTTTTCTTTACTTCTTTCTTCTTTACTTTATCCCGAAAAGTCCCAGGTTTTAGTTTCGCTTCATCTTATGGCTTCACCCGACTCCAGATTTTCCGAGCTGCTACAACAAAGTCTCTCTCTCTCTCTCTCTTTCTTTTTCTCCACCTGTATTATTCTGGACAAAGTCACAGATCGGGGATCCAACCTCTTTTTCCCCCTCAACGTGTTTTTCAAGTCCCTCTCTCGTTCATCCTGCATCTTAGCTTTTCGAAAACACGAGATTTTGTTTTTTTCTTTGACGAGAGAGAGAGAGAGAGAGAAACAGATAAATAACCGTGACCTTTGTGTTGCAATTAGAGCTGGTTTTGAAAACTAATCGGATTCGTTTCCATGGAGTGATAAAAGAGACGGAAGCTTCTTTTTTTTTAACACTCGAAAGAAGACGTTCTTTCCTGGATTTTTAAAGAAAAATCAGAAGCCTTTGAGTGAGCACCCTCCTGAATTCACTTCCGAGGGGATTCGGATTAGAAGTGAGGTCAAACCCGGGATCTTCGGATATTTCACTCAAGAAAATAAGACACAGCGTGCGACGTTGAAAATTCCTGGGAATTTTTTAAAATCATTTTCTGCGCTCTTTTTGTAAAATGGAATTTTTTCTCTTTACATACTTTTTAACCCCTGAAAAGTATAAATTTTGCATGGAGTACACAAGGAAATGACCATAAAAACTTATTACAAGGAAGCGATTGGGGGATTTAACAAAGCTTTGTCATGCCTAAAACAAACATTGTAATACTAGATTTTCAGAAAACATGGCTGGCAATGGACTAGACATGGAAATGACTAAAAACTCATTACAAGGAAGCAACTGGAGGAATTGAAGCTTTTTCAAACCTAAAACAAACATTGTAAAACTGTATTTTTTCAGAAAACATGCCTCGCAATGGACTGTACATGGAAATGATTGTAAAAACTCATTACAAGGAAGCAATTGGGGGAATTAACACAACTTTTTACACCTAAAACAAACATTGTACAACTGGATTTTCAGAAAACATGGCTGGCAATGGAGTAGACAAGGAAGTGACAGTAAAAACTCATTACAAGGAAGCATTTGGGGGAATTAACACAACTTTTTATACTGTACCTAAAACAAACATTGTAAAATTGGATTTTCAGAAAAAATGGCTGGCAATGGAGTTGACAAGGAAATGACAGTAAAAACTCATTACAAGGAAGCAACTGGAGGAATTAACAAAGCTTTGTCATGCCTAAAAGAAACATTGTAAAATTGGATTTTCAGAAAAAAATGGCTGACAATGGCCTAGACATGGAAATGACTAAAAACTCATTACAAGGAAGCAACTGCAGGAATTAAAGCTTTTTCATACCTAAAACAAACATTGTAAAACTAGATTTTCAGAAAACATGCCTAGCAATGGACTAGACAGGGAAATGACTGTAAAAAGTAATTACAAGGAAGCATTTGAGGAAATCAACACACCTTTTTATACCTAAAACAAAATTGTAAAATTTGATTTTCATAAAAAAAGGCTGGCAATGGAGTTGACAAAGAAAATGGCTGTAAAAACTCATTACAATGAAGCATTTGGGGGAATTAAAAAAGCTTTGTCATACCTAAAACAAACATTGTAAAATTTTATTTTCAGAAAAAAATGGCTGGCAATCATATCTGATGTGAGTCCCCCTTTCCACCAACCTCAACTAAATAAGCATTTGGGGGAATTAAAAAAGCTTTGTCATACCTAAAACAAACATTGTAAAATTTTATTTTCAGAAAAAAATGGCTGGCAATCATATCTGATGTGAGTCCCCCTTTCCACCAACCTCAACTAAAAATTTCCCAGAATTCTCCCAAGCTTTCTGTAAGGAGCTTTCACAATAATCTTGAAAATACTGTACAAAGGACTCAAAGATATGTACTGTTTATAACACAGTAAAATCTCGTTGAAACAAAGCCATTGGACTCATGAACAAAGCTCGTTTGTGACAAAAAACACTGAAATAACATTAAGGCTGATTAATTGAAATATTATTAACATTGAAAAACTGTAATTCAAAACAATGACGCTGAAATAAACTTCGCGGATTAGCATGAAAGAAATCTTGCAAAAACCCTTCGAATACATTTACAGTATTGCAGCAGAAAATATCAGCACACAAAAGGCATCCGTTTTTTTTTTATTCTCGTTCTCTTCAAACAGGAAATTACCATTAAAGAACAATAGCGAAATAATAAACAGCCCATATACAGGCTATTCAGTTTCTGACTCGGAGCAAAAATCCAACACTGGTTCATTCCCAGGGGTACAATGAGCAGAAAGGGGGCGACTTAGATCAGATGATCCCAAAAAACGTCACAGACAACTTTATTCATGAGCACACTCAATTTTAAGTGAAAAGACAGGCCAAAGGATTCGGGACCACCCGGGCATGACAATGGATTCACACCCATATAAACGAGATAATAACAGAGTGGGGGGGGGGGGGGGGNCCCCCCCCCCCCCCCCCCCAGATATTGTTGGTCTTTCTATGACTCAGAAATACTTCTATTACAAAATACTGTATCTTAAGTACAGTAGAACTTCTGCAAGTCAAACTCTAGAGGGGTCCACAAAAATTCGACTCAGTAAATTCTACTGAGAGAAACTGCAATATTTTCAAAAGTTGACAACACTTGACAACACTTGTTTTTGACTTTCTAAACAATGAAATACAGAGGACCAGCAAACAATCTGTTCTAGAGAGAATTTTGTTGCTGACAGAAAATTCAATCATTGTAAAAAAGAGTTTACCTTTATTCAATCTTTAATCAAAAAACCAACTGCAGCTTTTCATTCCAAAGCAAAAAGATTATTTAGAAGGATCCCACATTTTCTCTGACTTCCTGAAATTTTCAACATCACACCTTAATTCATCACCATTGAAAATGTCCATCCTGCCAGCTGTTCCAGTGGGAGGATCAGGGAGTGGTCAGGCAAATGCGAGATTGACACCAATCACACACAGTGGGCAGTGATCACACCTACCACCCACCCACTCCCCCTCCATGGGTGCTTTTTGTGCACTGTCCCACAACAGACCAACAATAGATAAAACCAAGTGAATAAAGACAGTCAACTCCCATTTGACAAGAATTCCACATAGCTGAGAGAGCAGTGTGATGTGAATGCCTAAAAACCCCTGGGATCTCAGCCAAAAAACAGAGGAGGCCAGGGGAAAGAATTCAATTGGGAAGGAGGGTTTTGTGCAGAGTTGATGAACTTCCCCTGTCTGCAAAAGGCGACACCTCAATTTTCTGCCACAAAGCAATTATAAATGGTCAGGTATATACTACTGATACGTCATTATAATTTTTAGTAGAGTCCCAAAACATGTAAAGAATACCTGCACAGTGCAGAGTTCTGTGGATACTGTAATTCCACCCAGTAACTCAGTTGCATACTGGTGTCATCACTGTTGTCTGTTTTTTCATGTCTAGTGGCAGGTTGTTCCTCTTTTCACCTTGGTTGTTCACATCTATGATGTTGAGCAGTCATTTTGAAAAAAGGAACTCTGCCCACCATAAAGTCTTTTAAGCAAACCTTTTTTCAATTTGCACAAATTTCATAACAATTTGAAGGTCTTTAGAAATTTTGTTGGAAATTTGCCAGTCCACAAATTTATATAATAACCTTTTCATATTCAATTTGTTCACTTAAAATATTGAGATGGAAAAAAGAAACTCTGCCCACCATAAAGTCTTTCAGGCCAAATTTCTTTTTTGAATTTGAACAAATTTCATTACACTTTGCAGGCCTGAAAAAATTAATTTGATGGGGATTTGCCAGTCCACAAATCTACATAATGACATTTTCATTTCCAATTTGTTCACTTGAAATATTGAGATTCCAACTGCAGTTTTTTTAACACGTTTTTATTAACTCACTTTCTTGTCCGTTTGTTTGTCCGGATCAAATTTTGCAACTCAAATTTTGCTCACTTCCCAACTAGCTAGCAAGCTAAAACTTTCAGGATAGCTTAGAAACTGATGACAATGCAATCTTTTGTGAAAAGAAAAATTATAAGAATATTTTTTAAAAAGAATAAAATAATTATAGTAGATGAAAACAATTATCTAAAAAACCACGTTTTTCAAGTAAGACTAAAAAGCACAAAAAATGTAGTAGATTAAAAAATTAATCTAAAAACCACGTTTTCAAAAAGCAAAAAATAACCTTAAACGTGGTGCGCATG